GACACAATCTCACAGCGGACGTACTCTCAAGATCGTAAATAGTGTAATCTGCATACCGTAGTCATGAACTTTATGATTTTGGACATTCATTTCAGTTTAGCTAGTAATGTTAAAATTAATGATTTCTGTTAGTTTATTAACAGAAGTCACTTAAGAATCTTTTTCCCTTCTGATAAAAGGGGGAAGTGTCAGATGAATCCATTTGTAATATAATGAATTAAATGCGTTCATGTTAACATTTTAATAAAAGAGCTAAGTAGCCTTATAATTATCAGCGACGACTGAAAAGCCTATATCCTTGCTCGTCTTTACCGTCTCGAGCGCTTTTTCGTGTTCCTTAGAGGATTGCCTTGGCCACTCCTCCACCTAGGCAACTCTCTAGCGCATTCCACGTCATGGGCATCACTGTAGTAGCGTATATAAGCCCATTTGTGTGTTTGCGCATTCGTATTCAGTGGACAAACCGCTTTTGCCCTTTCCCCTCCCTCCATCTGTGTGTGTGTGTGTGTGTATTGTTGTTATTGTGATTTTTATTCTTCTTTTTGTGTGTGTTTTGTGTTTTATATTTCTCTGTCTCTTTCTTTCTTTCTTCGATAAATGCATCGTTTAAAGGAAACCTCAAAGACGAATAATTTATAACAATTTATTTATTCTGACGTTTCATTCGTATTCAGAAATATTACCAAAAAGGGAGAATGCCGCCAATAATTTTCATTGCAGCCTCTAAAATTAATTATTTGTGTCATTTATTGCGAATGACTTCTTGATTTACATTACGATGGTGAAACGCTGGGAATACATATGTGTAAATGATTAAGTATCACCTCTATGAATACTGAAGGATTAGAAAACCTATTACTCTTCTTCTCTTTTCTTCTTCTTCTTCTTCTCCTCCTCCTCCCCCTCCACCTCTTTTTCTTTTTCTTCTGTATGTTCTTCACTTTTTTCTTCTTATTCCTCTCCTCCTCTTCCTCCTCCATCTCTTCTTCTGTATGTTCTTCTTATTCTTCTCCTCCCCCTCCTCCTCTTGCTCCTCCTCCAGCTCCTCCTCCTCTACCTCCTCCTTCTTCGCCTCCTCCTTCCCTCCTCCTCCTCCTCCTCCTCCTCCTCCTACACAGTGCTGCCAACGCCTTCGTTTATGAGGACAGAAATTCCATTTTCACAAAGGTACTCGTTCCCTTGGTCTTGAAAAATAGATCCGGTCGTGTACCAGTTGCCCTGACTGTCCGCGCAGCCTGTCGGATTAATGGTATTTATTGTCATTAGCAGATAGTCAGCGGTATTTATTAGCATATGGTTAATGTTATTTGTTAGCAGATATCTGTTATTTATTGTTATCAACAGATGATTAATGGTATTTATTGTCATTAGCAGATAGTCAGCGGTATTTATTAGCATATGGTTAATGTTATTTGTTAGCAGATATCTGCTATTTATTGTTATCAACAGATGATTAATGGTATTTATTGTCATTAGCAGATAGTCAGCGGTATTTATTAGCAGATGGTTAATGTTATTTGTTAGCAGATAATTAATGTTATTTATTGTTATCAACAGATAATTAATGGTAATTATTGTCCTTAGCAGATGATTAACGATATTTATTGTCATCAGCAGATAGCTAACTAATTATCATTAGCAGGTGATAAATGTTGTTTATTGTCATTAGAAGATATTAACTAATTCTCATAAGGAGATGATTAATGTTTTTTTATTATCATTTGCTGATAACGAATGTTATTTACTGTCATTAGTATTACTATTAGTTCTGAGTATCAACACTGTTGTTATTATTTTTACAAGGTTGATGACATTATTATCATTATCATTATTTACTGTTACTATTACTATTACTCTTGTTATCATTATCATTATTACTACCATACTTCAGCTTATTATTATTATCATTATCATTATTATCATTATCATTGTCATGATCATTATTATTATCATTATTATTATTATTATTATTATTATCATTGTCATTATTAATCATTATCATTATCATTATCATAATTGTCAACATTATCATTATTATCAACATTATTATTGTATCATTATCTTCGCTTCTAAAAAATCTTAGCATTAAACACTTCATCTCCTACTATTCAACTCACCCCAGAAATAAAGCAAATAAATTAATAAATGAAATAAACAAGTTTCTCTCATCATAAAACAGAATAATGGAAACGGAGAAATACAATATTGATTAAAAAAAAAAAAAAAAAAAAAAAAAAAAAAATCAAAAGGGAATACTCACATTCCTCGGCGTGCCCAGGTGTCCATGTGTTGGTGCCATTGATGCAGATAAATACTTCGCACCCTACCGTTACAGTCTCCATATGTTGGTGCCAGTTACCCGTAGAGTCCTTGCAACCTTTGTGGTGAAGAGGCGGAAAATGTTGATTAGTAAAAAGAGAGGATATATATGTGTGTGTTTGTGTGGTCTATAGACACACAGACACATATACACATACACGCACACACACATACACATACACACACACACACACACACACACACACATATATATACAATGTGTAAATTAGAATGATATAATAATCAATCATAACAAAAAACAACGGATCCTCAACCAATCACAATTCTGTTTATTGGTCCGAAAAAATAAATTTGTCAACATGCTTTTTATGTGCTGTGTCAGAGCAGTCACACTGTGAATTATACCATACTAACCGAATATTCAATACCATTATTAATGTAGCAATATTTTTTTTCCAAGTGAATTTTTTTTTTGAACACGAATGGCCTCAGCATTACAAAACACACACACGCACAGACACACACACACACACACGCACACACACACACACACATACACGAGCAAGAGCACAACCCCCCCCCCACCCCCACCCCACACACACACATACACAATCAGAAAAAAACTCACAGTCGTGGGCCGGGTAATGCGAGAACGCTGCAACGCCGCTGTTGCAGACGAACTGATTGCACTGGTCACTGTACGAATCCCCATTTGCATGCCATTCGCCCATGCTATCCATACAACCTGGGCGAAAGTATGCATCCACGTGTATTATAATGAGTTTATATACAAGTGAGTAGATAAGTGTAATCTCATGAATGGAAGTTAGTTAAGCTATAAACAGCGTGTTAGGCAGCAGGAAGGCATATCTCTCAGGCGGGCAAAATTCAACCCGTCCGAGTTTTGGACGTAATATTAAGATGTCCGCCCTTCTGAACCAGGACGTAATATTACGCCACCCGCCTTTCGGGGAAAAAACGTAATATTACGCCACCCGTCCTTCGAAAAAAAAAAAAAACGTAATATTACGCCATCCGCCCTTTCCAACAAGGACTTACTATTACTCCACCCAACAAGTACGTAATATCACGCGATCCACCGTTTAAGAGTGAAACGGACAACAAAATATCACTCTACCCACCCTTCACAGCAAGTACGTAATATTACGCCATCCGCCGTTTGAGGGTGAAATGGGCAACTCGGGACTCACATCTATCCACGATTCCATGCTGAAGAATCGAAGTGCCATCCTCACACAGGTACGCGTCGCACATGTACACGTAGGTCTCTCCGTTCGCGTGCCAATTCCCATCCACGTCGCTACAACCTTGAGAATAGTAAAAAAAAAATGGGGTGATAAAAGGAGGGGAGAATAGAAGAGGAAGAGAGATAGGGAAGGAGAAGAAGCGAGCAAGGTGAAGGGGGGGGGAGGGGGAAGGGAGAGAGGGAAGGTGGGAGGGAGAGGGAGGGAAAGGGAGAGGAAGAGGCAAAAGGAGACGGAGACGGAGACGGAGAGAGAGAGAGAGAGAGAGAGAGAGAGAGAGAGAGAGAGAGAGAGAGAGAGAGAACATAAAAAGAATTTATAAATAGAGATAGATAAATAGATAGATATATAGATAGATAGAGAGAAAGACAGAGAATCAGAACAAAGAGAAAGAGAGAAAAAAATACGAAACAGGGAAAGAGAGAGAGACAAAAGAGAAAGAGAGAGAGAGAACCAAAACAACAAAACAGCAATTTCAACTCCCAGTTCTAAACAAGCCACACACGAAAACAAAACAAAACAAACAAACACATCTATATCATCAAACCCCACGAATCTCTTTATCAACAACAACAACAACAGTAATAAAAAGACACCAAAATAAACTCACAATTATATACAGACTGATAACCCTGGTGTACTCTCTCTTTAAATCCTCCGTGGCACATATACTCGACACAATTCTCCGTAAATATTTCTCCGTCTCGATACCAACGCCCGTCTTGTGTCCCGCAACCTGTGGGAAAGGAATAAAGAGGGTCTGTCTTCGTATGTTATTTGCCTGTGTGTTTGTCTGTGAGCGATAGGTTTGTTTTTATTTTCCTGCGTCTAATGAGTGGATTTTTTTTCTTTTTGTTTCGTATTTAAATAGTGATGGTTGGGTGATATGGTTAAATTAGTGACAGGGTAAAGATAAAAGATAAAGATAAAATAATGATAATATAATAATAACAATTATAATGATAATGATGATGATAAATGATGATAAAAAGGGGAGACGGAAAACAAAAGAAAAAACAACGGGATAAGAAAAAAGCAGAAGAGAGGAAAGAACAACCAACACCTAAAAATAATAAAAAAAAGAACTTGAGAAAAAAGGAGACAGCAAATATCGAAAAAAAACATCAGAAAACTAAAAGAGTGAGGGGAAAAAATAATTGAGAACATTATAGAAATAGAAAAAGGAAAAACAATGAAAACTAAAAGAGTGAGAAAAAAATATAAAAATAATAAAGATAGATAAAATAGGACAGAACCGAAAAAAAGAAAAGAGAGAGAGAGAGAGAGAGAGAGAGAGAGAGAGAGAGAGAGAGAGAGAGAGAGAGAGAGAGAGAGAGAGAGAGAGAGAGAGAGATACAGACAGACAGAGAGAGACAGACAGACACAGAGAGAGAGAGAGAGAGATAGAGACAGACAGACAGACAAGCAGACAGACAGACAGGCAGAGAAAAAAAA